AATGAACCTTGGGATAGCGAGCATAGACTGTAAAAAATAGATCGCCACATACAATGACCCCAACTTCAATGAATAATTTAAAATGAAAAAAGATCAGCCGAAAACATTTTTAAACTTAGTACTTGAAATGTAATATTTTTAAAGTAAAAAAATAATAAATAATATGAATGAATCAAAGTTTTATTAGTAGTATAGTTTTATAGTTAACCTAAACTGGACAATCGAATATATTTTCACTCATTAAATATAAAGTTAATGATAAAATATTTATAAACACCAACTAATCTCCAATAAAAATACATTATGCAGCATTAACATACTATTTAATGTTGACAGTTGAACTCATCTGAGAACTCACCGTTGATGCAGTTTGACCAATAGCAGAGCGGCGTTAAACTCACCGTGAAGGGATGTCACGTGGACCGAAGTTTATTTATACAGTAGTTTCGACCCAGTTTACAGACGCTTTTCATGAACAAAATAAAAATTACATATTTTTAAAAGAAGAAAACTGCGATAATAGGCGTAAATCAGGTTTTAAAAAGTGCGTTAACATCTATTGGTAATTATACGAGCCTCCAGCGTCTCCCTATGACGCTTCAGGCTCAGGTACAAATTCTATAGGGAATCCCTGCACGTCTAAATGTGACGCTAAAGGGGTACCCTGTGCGTCAATAACTTACGCCGAGGGTTCCTGACCAAGCGTCAGTATATGACGAGTTGGGAGTGAGAATGTGTTGGCTTAAAATAAGTTAATATATAAAAAATCTATTAGTAATGTATTGTAGTAGAAGAACATTTTCCCAAAATGTCTTTACATTTCATATATGTGCTGTAATGTTGCATCTTATTTATATTTGTGTGTTCTCAGTTTTTGTTCCTCCCATAAGGTGTTTTTGGACTTTTTATATATTAAAGTGTTTTAGTGAAGCACAGATGCTGTTTTCTTTGTACACACAGAATCCCTTTAAAATATATCCTTTAAATAAATGTTTATTATGTTAAAAGCACATTTTAGATCAGCTTCATTTTGTCTCATAATAGCACAGTTGAGTACACTTAGATGTACTTAAGTTTATCTTAAAATGTACTTAATACTTAATACTTAATACTATTTTTAGTACATTAAATACAAAATTAGTTTGGGAAAATAGAGCGCGTTTAATACAGTATTTAGCACACTTTTTTTTACAATTTGTATATTCATTTAATATTTTACTATTATACTTTAAATTAGTCATAAATATATTTAAATGTTTAAAATTAGGGTTCAAGTGTATTTCTAGTTGTAACTAAACATATTTTTTAAATACAGATATAGTATGTTAAAAGCACATTTTAGTTTAATTTCAGTGTCTCAATAGCACAGTTGAGTGCACTTAGATGGCATTAAGTTTATCTTAACATATATGTAATTCTATCTTTTACTACATTAAGTACAAAATTAGTGTGTGAAAATAAGCACTTTTAGTACATTACTGAAGAGTGTACCCTAACACTTAAATAAGTGCATTTTATTGCACTTTTTCTACCTGGGTAAAAGTGCACATCTAGAACACTACTCAGTAAAGCAGAACTGCAGAGAAACACTGCTCAATCACATACACATGCTGCTGATGTGTTACTGCACACCTCTGGAGTTATCTGGACGCATTTTGTGTCAAAGCAACAAGAACTGTGCTAGTTGTAGAGCCTACAGAGACGGATGATGTGCTGACCGTGTTAAGAGTTTAGGAAACTTGCTAAATGTGTGCTAAATAGACATTGTACAAAACTGTAAGAGTTTAGGAAAAGCTCAGTCTGAGTGAGAGTAAAGTGAATATAAACAGCCCAACACTGATGCTGGAGGAGGAAATCTGCCTCTGCTCCCTCTGTTCCAGATTCACAACCCTAAACAAACAGCTTATAAACACTGCGGCGCTGTCCTTGCAGCATGTGTGTGTGTGTGTGTGTCTGTGTGTGTGTGTGTGTGAGAGAGAGAGCGAGAGATGCACATGACAGCAAAAGTCTGTGGGAACCTGTGTGTACGAGGGAGACAGAGTGTAGATCAATGTGCATTTCTGTGTGTGTGTGTGTGTGTGTGTGTGTGTGTGTGTGTGTGTGTGTGTGTATGTGTGTTGGCGCCAGGGCTCTTTAACAATCAAAGCAGAGGGGCGTGAGCGGGAGGAAGTCTCTACCTGAAAATACAGGTGTGCTTGACTATCAAAGGCTGTTCTCTGAACACTAAACACACGGCAGCGCAGAGGAGGAGGCACGTCTGTGTGTGTGTGTGTGTGCGTGTGTGTGTGTGTGTGTGTGTGTGTCTGTGTATATGTGTGTGTGTCTTGTCGGCCAGTAGGATTTCCTGGATTTCCATTGACAAACAGGTCTGTGGGATGTGTGATTGAGGAGCTGCTGCGGCGGGTAAATAAGATCTTACAGGAGGAAGTTCCCTCAGCCGACACAAACACACACAAACACAAGAGGAACCGTGAAATTAGCCTGACGCGCTCCGCTAACC